GTGTGTGTGTGTGTGTGTGTGTGTGTGTGTGTGTGTGTGTGTGTGTGTGTTTTAACTCCAACACAGCCTCATCAAGCCTTTTTACCTTTAAAATTATCAAAGATGACAGTCACTAAAAGATTGGCTCACAGGGCAGGTCTTTAGTTTCTGCTGTGGAATCTCTACATGTTTTGAAGTGCCCTAGTAACATCGGAGATTCTCTGAGTAATTGAAGAGGAGATATGAGCATTGGGAGCAAATTGTTCTACGAAGAAGCAGGTTGCTTGACTGACCAAGGAGAATATTATGTCACCAAGCCTTTCTGATATGTGAGCTTTTTTAGTACCGGGGGATGTGAATGTAGTTATTCATTCATTCTTTCAGCAAATATTTATTGAGCCCCTTCTGTCTGTCAGGCATTGATTGTCCTAGGTGCTCGGGATATACCAGTGAAAAAAACTAAGTCCCTGCCCTCATGGGGCTTACATTTCAGTGGCAGAAGATGAACAATAAACAGACTATAGATTTAAAACATATAAAACCAGGTAGTAAAGTAGGTTTTCTGCCAGTCATTCCTGTGGATTTATACAGGGTCTTCAAAAAAGTTAAAAAAAAAAGTTTAAAACCTTAAAATACTTGACAATTATTAGAGAAACCGTCTACAAACAGCATTTAAAGACAAGATCCTTGAATTTTTGTTTGAGCACAAGTCACTGCATGTAGTATGCCGTATTCAGAAACCCAACGTTATGATAAATGGAAAAGGGCAGCCATAGGTGAAGGAGTGCAGTTGTCTGTCTTGGGAAGAAAACGAGCTGCTTATTGTCAGAAAGATTGTTTCTGTCATCCCTGAAACCTAAATGATTGATTAGAATTTGACATGTAAATACTACATAAGGGTTTTTATGCAGGTATCATGTAACTGCTCTCAGTTTATTGGTGCAGTCAGGTCTTAGAACATCTTAAAAGAAATTCCAGCAGGGCGTAGTGGAAGGAACTCAGGATTTGAAGGCAGAAGAAGATTTAGCTCTTAGATTTATCTGCCACTTAATTGCTTTCCTGGGTCTCAGTTTCCTTATTTGTAAAATGGCCTGAATCCCAGTCACTGTTACTGTGAAATCAAATGAAGCTACATCAAATGAGATCTAAAAGTGCTTACATTAATGCTGGGGTTTTTTGTTTGTTTTTTGAGAAAAATGTAAACATTTCGCCAGCCACTAGTCTGCCTAAAGAATGTTTTGTGTATGTGCTGGGAGGTATTTGAGACACAGAGCCTCCACCCCAGCAGGTCTTTGGGAGACACGTGCAGATGGTTCATTTGATGACTCAGAATGTGAAGTGGTCTGATGTCCAAAGCTAATGTCTCAAGATTCTTGTAAGATCTTTCCTTTAATGACTGTAAGTGCAAATCCAAGTAGTGTACACGTCAAAGCAAATGCTATCTGTATTTCTCTGGTTTCAGTTACCAAGGAATTTCTTCCCCCCACCCCCAAATGCCTTTTGGATAACTATTTTCATGCCAAGCTACAGCTTTGAAATTAGGCCTTCATAAAATCCCACATAGGAACATGGGAGCCTTGACCACACTCTTCCTGGGCTATGGCATGAGGTCCCTGCCCCCTCTAGAGGAATTTCTAGCTGCATTTCTTTGGGTAGAAAAGGTCTATGGCCATTAAAAGAAAACACTGTGATCAGTACATGAATTTCCTGCTCTACTGTATAGAACTGACCATGGGCACTTTGTTTTAAGGGTTTGGAGCCTTTTCTAAGTATATACTCAAGTTGCTCAAATCCCATCCTCCACCATGTCATCATAAATCCAGTCCTTGCTTACCTTGGCAGGATTGTCTTCCTCATAGTGGCTCAAAGACGTTTGGGTCAGCAATGCCCCTCATCTCTCCTTACAGGGAGCCAAGATGGGGCGCCGGGCTCAACAGGAGTCAGCTCAAGCCGAGAATCATCTCACTGGCAAGAATTCCTCTTCGACTCTGACTGCAGAGGTGAGTGTTAAAAAATTCTGAAGAAATGCACTCTAAGAGTTAGCGATTACTCAGTGAGCAAGGATTTGGTATTTCGTAGTTTTTTCTTCTTCTCTTTAATGTCAGCCTTCCTCCTATCTTGATTTGGGAATTCCCTTCCTCGGCATTTGTCCTATTAGCAAGAAGTGAAAGAGGAACTTTTTTCTTTTGATGCCCGAGTAGTTTCTGTGCATTTTGCTTTATATTCCCAGTGAAGAAGTTTTGTACGTTAACTGAAGCAAGGGACTCTGGGAGGTTTCAAAATCCAGCCAAAATCCGGGTTTTTATTCCTGCCAGATAAACGCCAGGGAGGCATGCTGGTGACGTAAAGTTGGATTACACAACTGGACATTTGCTCTTGGTGGTGACCTGCGCTTTCTACAGTTTTCAGGCAGGAAGGGGATCCGTACTGGCCTTACTTTCCTGGAAACTTTTCCGAGTGGCCTGGAATCGTGGGAATTTGTCCAGCCTCTTTGCAGAGGGTGGGTAATCTTGATGAGCATTGCTTCTAATGCCAGGGCACTATTTTCAGTGGTTTACTCAGAACTTCTTTTCACCCTCCTCTGCCCATTTGAAAAAACTCTGCCCTTTTCAAGAGCTGGCTTCAGGGTAATCCTCGCTGCCAGCTCTTCCTAACTTCTCCAGGCCGACTTAGGGCTGCTACGTCTCAGTTCCCATAGTACCTGTTATAGAACATCTCACGTTATGCACTAATTTTCTTTCTATGTGCCTGGCCCACTAGACAGTGAGTTTCTGGGCAGGTAGCATCCTGGCTTCTCAGTTGCCCAGCTCATTGGCCTACAGTAGGTTTATAACAGATGAGGGCATCTCTGCTGGGAGGCCTTATGGGCCAGGCAGGTGCCTGAGTACAGCATGCTGGGGACAAGATACAGACACACTTGACTTACATATCACATAGGTAGGAATATCCTTCACTTTCATCAGAAATAAGATATTCACCATGTCTTTAAGTGTTCCACATGGACCTTTCAGTTTATCTTTCATTTTCTCACTGATTGTAGAAATATGGGTACAGAGAATCATTCCTCCTCTCAGATAACAACCATGCCAACACAGAAAAGCTGGTGACTGAACCTTGGCCTCATTGCCTGAAGACGGTAGGGAGAGACTGTGGGGGGATTGTGGGAAAACCAGAGGCCACATGTACCCTCCGAAGGGTAACCACTAACTAGCCACAGCCAGCTGATGCTGTGGGGAACATAGGTCCAGTACTGCCAACTCTTCTAATTTTCCAAGAGATAGCAGTCTAAAATTTTATGTGAAAGCAATACGTTTTTAGAGGTTAGTGACTAATTATAAAAATTAAATCACCATATGGGCTAGATTAGGCCTGAGGGTTGTCAGTTTGTGACTTTGACCATAGCACCTCCATTGTAGAGCTTATTACATTGTATTCTAATTATTTATGTGCCTGGCTCCCTCAGAAGATGTGAGCTTTTGGAAGGCGACGGTTGTGTTTCACCTTTGTCCCCCTTTGTTTATTGCAGTGCCTGGCACAGAGCAGGCATGACATTGACACTGCAAAGGGTGAGGGGGTGAAGTACATAGTGTGTGACGAGGGGCACTTAGAAGCTGAATAAGAGCGTTACAGGGTCAGGGGTGGCAGACTGTGGCATGTTGGAGACACAGTTAAGGGGGTATAATGGAGTGAGATAGTGAAAGACGATATACTAGACCCAACCCTGGATCTCAAGGAGCTTGAACTGCAATGGATGGGCAAGCCAATGACTGGATCAGTGGAAGTCTACTCTTGGCCCTTGGAGGATCCGTCCCAACACCAGATCATTAATTCATTTATTTAACAAGTATTTACTGAAGCTTACTGTGTGTCAGGCACCATCTTAGGGGCTTGGCGTATTTCAGTGAACAAGAGCCAAATCCCCTGCCATAATGGAACTTATATTCTCGTGATCACTGGCAGTCACAAAGGCTAATTACAAGCCTACCCAATTGTGAAGGAGGTTATAGCCACCTTAGTGGTGAGGTGAGCGGTGAGTCTGAGATGGGCCGGGATGTCCTGATGGCCTTGAAGCCTCTGTGGCGCCCACACCAAATCAGCTACCAAGCTGGGGTCAGTAGGCCTGGTTCACCTACCCGTCCGCTTCCCCTTGGCTCAGGGGAGAGTCAGTACTGTGAGCACCTAACTCCAAAGTCGCAGACTGTGATGAACCTGTCAGGGTTTCAGCCTTTCTAGAATACCTACTTATTTCTGCAGAGGCATGTACCTTTTTTTTTTGGCCCCATCTAGTCCTTAGTATTTTTTCTGGGAGATGATGAAAAGTCATTCTGGGGACTTCCCTGGTGGCACAGTGGTTAAGAATCCACCTGCCAATGCAGGGGACACAGATTTGAGCCCTTCGGGAAGATCTCACATGCCATGGAGCGACTAAGCCCATGCGCCACAACTACTGAGCCTGTGCTCTAGATCCCGCGAGCCACAACTACTGAGCCCACGTGCCTAGAGCCCATGCTCCGCAACAAGAGAAGCCACCACAATGAGAAGCCCACGCACCTCAGCGAAGAGTAGCCCCCGCTCTCGCAACTAGAGAAAGCACGCATGCAGCAGCGAAGACCCAATGCAGCCAAAAATAAATAAATTTATTTTTTTAAAAAAAGAAAGAAAAAAGAAAAGTCATTCTGTTCTTCACCCAGCTGGTGCCTCTGACAGCAAAATGCCAGTCAGAATTCCAGGATTCCTTCTCTCCCTGAATTGAGGTTTAAAGCAGCGTGGGCAGCCTCCCCTGGGGCCAGATGCACATTGTGCTGTGTGGGCCTTTTTGGCTGTTTCTTTCTAAGATTAGATTCTAAGACTTATGTGTGTGTGCCCATTTACATTCCAGTTCTGAATGTATTACATGATATATTTATTTTTGTCCTTTCACTGACTATATTCTTGGATGAAGCTATTCATGAAAACGTAAATATGGTACCTGGGGGCTGTCAGACATACTGGAGTTACTTTAGAGTTATATAGGAATTAGTTCAAGCAAATGATTGATTTTAAAGCGAGCTGGCGGGATGGGGAGCTCTGTGGAGGAAGCAGAGCAGCTTCCAGGTGTGCTGGAATAGAGGGAACGCGGGCTTGGCATCTGAAAACCAGGGCTTGAGCGTGGGCTCTGCTAATTGCCTGGATCTTGAACAACTCCACTGATCTCTCTAATCCTGCATTTCATTATCTGTCAAACAGTGGTAACAATACTACCACGTTGATGTGAGGATTAAGTGAGATACGCATTTAAAAGCACTTTAGTAAACTGAAAGGCACTGTACAAATGTTCGTTCATTCAGTAAGTAGTGAATAAGAGAATATTTGGATGGAGCTTTGCTCTTGTTATTAAAGGGCCGCACAGAAGGAGGATGTGAGCCTGAGTCTCTTTTAGAAGTGATTTGGAAGTCTCTCCAAGCGTTGCTACTCATTTCTCCACAGGCTGACTAGTAGTGATCTGAAGCAGGTTTTGTGCTTCCAGATGCAGCAGGCATTCCTCCTGAAGGGTGGATAAGAGCACAGGCCTTGCGGTTAGACAGCCCTGGGCTGAAATCCTGGCCCTGCCACATGTTAGCTCTATGGCTCAGCAAGTTACTGAACCTCTTCAAGCCTCAGTTTCCTCATTGATAAAACAGGGTTAGTATTACATACTTGATAGGATGGCCAGAAAGAAAAAAACAAGATAACAGGTATAAAGAAAGCTCTTAACCCAGTCTGACCCATAAGTGCTCAGTATATACTTGCTAACCATTATTGTCTCTCCAGAGCTCGGGTGTTCTGTTATTGTGCCTTAACCCTCTCTACGGTTAAAAACTGGTGGCCTTCAGGCTGAATTTCGCCTACAACCATGTCTTCTTTGATCTGTACAAAATTAAACATTTTTTAAAACTTGGTTGTTATCATTTCTAAATTAGGAAAATTTATGTGAAAATCCAGATTTGGGGCTCCTCTTTGAAACCAGAAGTTCTGGCACAGCGGGAATGCTGGGCTGGCATCCCCACATGGCAGCAGTTGGCTGCAGCTGAGAACGGTGCTTGCGTACGCTTGGCCTGCCCTGTCCAGCTCACCATTTCTTACTTGAATACACCTGGTCAGATTTACTCACATCTGATCTACCTGGCTCCTGTTTCCATTCAAGTTAAAACTCCTGCTCTTTTAGGATGGATGGATTTTCAGGTATCCTTACCGGTACTGAATTTGGCTATATGCATCATTAACTCAGCCCCAGGGCTTGGAGCAGGCAGGAGTGATTTTTCTCACAGCAAGAAGTCCAGTGGAGGGCAGGGTGGGTGCGGTCACTGGAGAAGGTCCTGCGTTACCCTCACCCCGTCTAGACACCTGCTCTGCCATCTGGAACTTGTAACTTGTTCTCATGGTTGCTGACATGATGGCTGGTTGTTCCCCAGGGATCCAATCTGTATTTTAGGTGAGGAGAGGGGGAAGAGTGGAAGAGTTCAGGGTTCATGCCAACGAAGTATGTCCCTTCTTATCAGGAGAATGATAGCCAGAGACCTCACCAAGTAGACTTCTAGTTACATGTCATCGGTCGGAACTGGGTCTTAAAACCACCTAAATTTCAAGGGCGTTCTCAGCTGGGCACGTTGCCACACCCATCACACTGGGGTTTTGGGGTTAAGGAGAGGAGGAATGACTGTTGAGTAGGCAGTTTGCGACTGACATATCAATTAAAAAAAAAAAAGAATTTATACAGAGTTTGTTTTTTGCTGTTTTTTTTTCTTGTAGGCTTGGGTATAAAAGGAAAGAATTATTTTTAGTAGCAAATAAAAATAAAAAATCCACATTCCTCTCCCGTTTTCTAATTTGGGGTTGTGTAGAGTTCAGTGAAAATTTGTATGCCCTCAAGTTCCAAGACATCTGATGCAGTTGCCTGTGTCAAATCTTGCCTCTGATCTTTTCCTTCTTCCTGTTTTCTCAGTAACCCCTCGGGGCTTTCTGCCTGGAGGATACCTGTGGC